TCCTCGCATCCAACGACATAGATTTAGCCAACAGGCTCTTCGCCCTCCTCGCGCCCAGTAGCCTCCTCTTCAACGCAATCTCCGCCGTTGATCGCCTCTCCCTCGTCAAATACGTGTTCCCTATTGAACGGTTGCCGGAATGGGTCCGGTTCATGCTTTCCTCGGAAAATGGTAGCCGGGTATTATCCGATTTATCCCCAATTTTCAAAAATAGGGTTAAAGAAGACTCAATCAAACCTAATTTCTATCAAGTTCAGCTCAATGTCTTTGAATATTACATGTTTTGGTTCGCTTATTACCCCGTTTGTCGAGGAAATAGTGAGAATTGTGATGTTGTTTCGATAAAAAGAAACAGAAGGTTTAAATTTGAGAATTGGGTTTCATCAATTTCAGGGTTTTCAAGCACTAGGCGTGGGCCGGAGGTTAAAATTGAATGCAACTTGTATATTAGGCTTTTATATGCATATCTTCGTGCTTTTGTTGGTGCAACTGATTTGAATCAACACCTTCCATACCGAAGTTCGCTTTTGCATTACTCTTCGGGATATGATACCTCGGTTATAGCTCAGGCAGAGGTTTTTGTTAATGCTTTGGTGAATTTTTGGTTGGTTGATAATGATTTTTCACCACTACCTGTTAATCTGTGTAAGTCATTTGGGGTCTCGTTCCCATTCCGGTCAGTTTTGGGTGAGACCCCTCCAACCCCCATGTTAGGAGAGGTGGTGAAGTTGTTTGTCAAATACTTGAATGTGGGTTTGGTCGTGCATAGAAATGGTAATGACAATGTGGAACATTGTGGCAGTCCGAGGCGGAGGGGTTCATTTGATGCCTTGAAGTTGAGGGATGTGATGTCAGTTTCACCATGTACAGGATCTTGGAACTTGTTGATACAGAGGCCGCTGTACCGGTTTATATTGAGGACATTCTTATTTTGTCCAGTGGGGGTTTCGATTAAAAATATATCAGAGGTGTTTTCGGTTTGGATTACCTATATTGAACCTTGGGATATCAGTTTGGATGACTTTTCAGAGCTTGATGCTGTTGTTGACGGATCAACTAAGAATGGGAGAAAGGATAACCTGCAGCCTCAAAACCATAGTTATACACCTTCTTGGCAGGGTTACGTGCTGGCCAGCTACTTGTACTACAGTTCCTTGGTTATGCATTTCATTGGGTTTGCGCACAAGTTTCTTCATACTGATCCCGAAATAATTGTCCAGATGGTATTGAAGGTCAGATTCTTAACCATTTCTCTTTCTAATTTAGGTACCTTTGTGAGATATAGTTTCTTCTCCTGGTGATGATGATTCCAGAGACTTATTGATGAGCTCATTTTATAATTTAAACTGTCTGATTGCATTAGATATGGCGGTTGTTATTAGTTGCAAGAAAAGCTCAATAACTATAAATTCATTACAGAATTATGTTTCCACCGCTGGGGTGGATGAATATCTGATGCTTTTATTAAGGTTTTATTGAGCTTTGACCTGTCAAGATGCATTCCTCATACAAATAGATTTGTGATTCTTGAGAATTGAAGATCATACAATGTTCATTATTTCGAAGTTTGGGATATTAAAACTTCATTAAGAGGGAAATTTTGGTTATATCAGCAACATGTTTACAGAAAACTAGTGCTATATGTTAGAACTTAATTGAGAATAATGTGATGATAAGTCATACATATCCTTGGTCGACTTCCTATGCATTACTCATCTTTTGTCTGTCAGAAATAAATATGAAGACTTTTTTCGCTTTGTTTGTTTCTGATTATTCCTCATTTCTGTATAGATCCTAACTATATTGACATCATCCAAAGAGCTGATGGACCTATTAAAGATGGTGGATACTGCTTTTCATTCCAAACAAGCAGGATCAGGAAAATCGATGCTTAATAGCTTATATAGAATTGTTACTCCGATTCGCGAACAGCTGCAGGTAGGATTACTTCTCTCTCCTCTAATATTTTGCATTAGAATTTTGATTGCCGAACTGATTGAATCAGTGTTTGACCGGTTTTCTTTGTGTGATCTATTGGTATCCCAGGACTGGGAGGATGGCTTATCTGAGAGTGATGCAGATGGGTCTTTCTTGCATGAGAATTGGAACAAAGATTTACGATTGTTCAGTGATGGAGAAGATGGCGGGCAACAGTTGCTTCAGGTATTAATTATTATTATTATTATTGTTTTCTATTTGTGTATGTTTACTAAACATCTGTTTACATGACAAGATCTCATCCAATGTTTGCGATTTTGTGATTGCAGTTGTTCATATTACGTGCAGAAGCTGAGTTGCTAGCTATTTCCGGTGATAATGGTACGCGCAACCTTCAGTGCGTAGACTCTTTGAAAGCTCAGGTGAGCTGTCTATTTGGTGGGCATACTGTAAAGGTACTGTCATTTTCTCCTGAACCAAAACAGCCTCCACAACCCCGTGATGCAATATTCAAGCCCAGGAGAGTGGGCAACCGCACTTCGGATGATGTCAAATACAGGGGTGACTGGATGAAGCGCCCCATCTCCAACAATGAGGTTGCTTGGCTCGCGAGATTGCTTGTTGAGTTTTCCAGTTGGATAAATGAGCGTCTTGGACTAAACCAGTCAGAGAGCAGCCAAGCAGACCCTACATATGTGGAAGTGTCGAGCAATGTTTTGGGCAATGTCTTTGGACCGATGGATACGATGAAGGCGGTGAAGGGGGCAGTAGGTTCTTGGCTTGTGATGTTGGGAGTGGCAATGGTGAAGCTAATGAGGAAACATGGATTGAGGGTGAATCTGAGGATGTTGGCGTCAAAGAAGGTTGTAATGGTTTTGTTTTTGTCTGCTGTATATAGTATATTGAAAAAAGCTTTCGGAATGTACCAAAGGGTGTAGATTAGGGGATAGAACAAAGGATGGTGTAAACAGAGCTTTACTTACCCGCACATTTTTTTTTCACGTGTGAATGGTTGAGATTTAACTAAATCTCAATTAGTTAAATTTCACTCTTCACTCGTGAAGAAAAAAGTGTGGGGGAGAATTCTTGTTGAAAACAAAGAAAAAGGCATATAGAAAAGGGAAAAAAGAATTGAGGATTTTTGCTATGTTGTGTTGAAAAAAAATGTTTTGGTCTTTTATTGGAACTATGAACCCAGACTAAGGCTCAAATTAGTTTATTATCAGAACGGAATGGTCGGGGCAAGATATTTAACACCCGTATATCTAAGGAGGACGACCGTTGAAATGGCTACTTCCTGCGAATTAACACCTTCGATTAATTAGTAGCACCATCATTTCGATTAATTAGTAGAACCATGTAACGGTGATGCAATTAGAAACACCTTCAGTTAATCTGTGATCTTTGGACTCCAAAATTAACATTCTTGTTCCGTTTTGACCCCAAAGAGGCTTAAACTAATGATTGAATACAACAAGGGCCCAAGGCCTGCATGCGTATCAAGCACCGTTCTAAAAATTTATGCATAGTCGCTAGGCGGCTGGTCACAGCTCCAGTTAATGCTTAGATATTTGAAAATCAAGAAAAGGTGACTAAACCTCCTTAGGCGTCCGCCTAGCCCACCTAGGTGCTTGCCTGGGCACCCGCCTAGATCATGACTCTCGTTTAGACAGAAAATTGATAACTTTCATTTTACATTTTATTTTTTTTCAATAAATTGTAAAAGGCTTGTCGAATACTTTGATGAACACTCATTATATACTTGTTCTCCATATTTTCAATATGTTATAATACTTAATTTGTATGTCATTTTACTATGCAATTTATGTATTTCAATATAATTATGTATTTTTAAAGTATAAATAGGCACTCATTTATACGATGTACAATAAATTTACTTAAATCCGCCTAGACCTCGCCTAGCAGCCTAGAAGCCTAGCCCATCACCTGATTAACGCCTAGCGTATTCTAGAACCTTGGTATCAAGACAACACTCTGCCTTTCCACAAGTTTATCTAGTGGAAAAAGAGTATAGGGTTTAATATACCGTGGTTCACAATTTCACATATCAATCAAGTTTTCTGACCATTTTGTTTACAAATTCACATGACAATCAAATATAATATCACAGACAATATAAAACTTGTTTTACCCATGTATTTAGTATGAGTAAATATATAGCACATGGACACAATAAATAAATTGCAATTTAAACCCTTCGTTCTAGTAAAGAGAGCCTCAAGCACAATTGAAGGAGACCATGTGCCCCACGCCAACCCCCCCTCTTCCCAAGGTCTTCAATAGGCCCTATGACATTTACAGGCAGAATAATATTTAATTTCCACCATATATATAGTAGATAAAGAAAAAGACTATTTTAATATTCTATATAGATTTTAAATTTCTAATAAAAAATATAAATAGCGGTCACTATTTTCATAAAATACATGATTATTGTTGAATTAAAATTTATTGTTAGTTGAACATTGAAATTATGATATAGAGGATAAGCTTACTAATTAACTGAATTATAATTTTATTTTTATCGGCTTATGCGCGTTAGATCATTTTTGCACTCCATATACACATGATATGTGATAATATATATTATTCTTACACTCCATATATACATGATATGTGACAATATATATATAATTGTTGTGTGATAAATGTTAAGGAGACTCTCAAAGTGAGAGTTTTTATTGAGTACTCTCTGTCACCTCATGTTTTAGGCTAATGTTTTATAATATTGACACAAAAATTTATGTTAAACTATAAGATGGTATAGAGAATTCATGAAAATTTTCAATTTTGGGAGTTTCTGTTGTTGTATTGTATAACATATAATTTGGTGGCACTGAAAGACTGGAACGTACTGGTTTTTAAGGGAAAGCATATTTTCTTTAGATATTCAAGGATAACAAACAATATATATTCATGATATCAGACAACTGTACAAGTGAAAAATAAAGACAAACGTGTCTCGAAGGACAAAGAGATAAATATAAAAGAATTCATATTCTACTCCTCACTCTCACAAAATCTTCTGACTCCTAACTGGTAGTTGTGAGTTTTTGGGACTTGGAACTTCTCTCTCTCTTGGAAGGGTAGCTAGATTGATGGAGTACTCATTGACCCTCCAATTTTCTTCTCAGAAAACCGTACCAACCAGCAGGATATAAACCCCCAGAAGTTGTTGATAGCCAACAATCAGTCTCTCCTGCTAATATCTGATACATCTAACACCAAATTTCTCTCTCTCTCTCTCTCTCTCTCTCTCTCTCTCTCTCTCTCTCTCTCTCTCTCTCTCTCCCCTACGTACGTACATCATGGCTCGAAAGAACGATGGGTCAGCAAAAAGGGTTATGAACAAAGGAGCATGGACAGCGGAGGAAGATAGAAAACTTGCAGAATATACTGAAATTCATGGTGCAAAGAGGTGGAAGACAGTTGCTTCAATAGCAGGTTAGTTAGTTAACTAATCCACGTTAATTTTGAGCCCAAACAATAGGGTTAATCTCTTGTTGTTACTGCTCCTGCAGGTTTGAATCGTTGCGGGAAGAGTTGCAGGTTGAGATGGTTGAACTATTTGAGACCCAATATTAAGAGAGGCAACATTTCTGATGATGAAGAGGACTTGATAATTAGACTTCATAAACTACTAGGAAACAGGTAATTAATTTAATGTAGTCACCATTATCAACATTTTCTTGTCTGAATGTCAATCTAGACCGCACATTTGAATGAATAATTAGACGACGATCCCATATATATTGACAATCTAATAGCATAACATGTCAGATGAGAAAGTTTTTTACCATAAGTTGGTAATGTATAGGTGGTCCTTGATTGCCGGGAGACTTCCAGGCCGAACAGACAATGAAATAAAGAACTACTGGAATTCTCATTTGAGCAAAAAAATGAGTCAGAAGGAGAAAAAACCGCAGACTTCAACAGCCCAAGACACGACGACGAAGTCTGCTACTGCTACTGCTACTAAACCTTCCCATAAAGCATCAGACGATTGCGCTGATACGAACTTTGATGTGAATGAGTTCTTTGACTTCTCTGCCGAAGGTTCTTATGGGTTGGAGTGGGTGAACAAGTTTCTTGAGCTTGATGAAAACACCACGGCTAAACAAGAAAAGGTCAGCAGCATTGTGTAATTGAAGTATTACAAAAATAATTTGTTATTGACAGTCTATAAATTTAATTATGTATTCTGAACTTTTTATATTTAGTAGAAAAATACTCTTATCAGGAGTACGGTACACAACTAGATCTAATTAAATGTATAGAGTTTCAATAATAGTTTCTTTAAATGAAGATTCATAATTGTAAACTAAAGTACTTGTGTTGACTAGCTAGTTTTCTCATTGAGAAATGAAAGGCTACAAAAATAAGAGAACTTTAACGGAAATCTCTAGGTGTTGTTCACTTTAACAAAAAACCACATTTTTAAACTAAAAAGTCAATCATGGTACCATTCACTTTACCATTTATTTTGTCCTTATTTAAAAAACACAAAGTTTTCAAATTTTTTTCATTAGTTTTCTTAAAAAATAATGGTGAATGAAAGGCAGTGTGATTCTGTGCAATTTAAATGAAAAATTGCTCAGTCTTAAATGTATTTGTGTGGCCATGCATTTGTTTTATTGGTGTTAATCAATATTATAATCTTTTGTTAATTAAAACCAAACGTTTATTGTATTGGAGTAATCTAGGTTTTGTGGCCAATGCAAACAAACCAGAAGTAGTATTCTAGAAGTGTTGTGTTGCTAATCATTCATGTTTGTGTCGGCAAGAATCGTTCTTATTTTAAATATCACTTGAAAAATGGAGCATAACAAATGGCCAATTTGGTGATTACGGCAACAACGAGCCCCACAAGTTGAAGACAAGTTTGGCACTATTTTTTAAAGGCCTAATCGGATAAATGGTCTCCGTGGTCATAAGGTATTCGGATGATAGCCCCTGTAGTAAAAAAATTCGGATTTAAACCCCTGTGGTCACAGTCTGTTAGGATTTAAATCCATGTGGTCTAAGCCTGTTAAGATTTATGCCCTTCTGTCATTCCTCCATTAGGTTTAGGTTGGCAAAATCGGATAAATGGTCCATGTGGTCATAAGGTATTCGGAAGATAGTCCCTGTGGTAAAAAAAATTCAGATTTAAACCCATGTGGTCTAAGTTTGTTAGGATTTATGCCCAAAACTAGAGGTTCTGTCATTTCTCCGCTAAGCTTACAGGTGAGCAGAGTTTCTCTGAGGAGACACGACAGAATGAGGTGGAGCTAATAAATCACATAATTCATTAAAATTCAAGATATAATAAATCAAATAATTCAAAATGCCTTTATAAAATTAACGAGTTTTTTGACTCCCGAATATCCAACCGATTAATTAATTCTTTACTAGCCTCTTGCCACACGCATACGCGTGTGGCAATTGACATTTTTATATATCTTTTATTTAAATAATTAATTTACATATTTTTTTTTAAATATTTAAAAAAAAGAAATGAATTAAAAACGTGAAACCACCCACTAATGTGGGAGGTTTTGTTTTTTTTTCTTTCTATAATTTTAAATATTAAATTCATTCAAAATAAAAATATGGTTAAATACTTTAGCTTCTTTTGGTTCAATTGTAATTTATGAAATTCTTAAAGGACAATTTATGGTGTTTTGAATGTTTCACCATTTTAGGGTGCTCACTTTAGATTTATAGATATATATCTTTTATTTAAATAATTAATTTACATATTTTTAAAAAATTTATTTAAAAAAAAAGAAGAAATGAATTAAAAATTATTTAAATCCGAATTTTTTCTACCACATGGGCTATCTTCCAAATTCCTTATGACCACAGGGACCATTTATCCGATTTGGCCAACCTAAACCTAATGGAGGAATGACAGAAGGGCATAAATCCTAACATACTTAGACCATAGGGGTTTAAATCCTAACAGACTGTGACCACAGGGGTTTAAATCTGAATTTTTTTTACCACAGGGGCTATCATCCGAATACCTTATGACCACGGGGACCATTTATCCGATTAGGCCTTTTTTAAAATAGTAAAACAATGTTTGGGTGAGAAATTTTCTATTTGTAAAATATTGAGACCGAACTAGTAAAGAATGCGACAAAATTTAAATAGAGGGAATGAGAAATGATTTTTAGAAGCATTATACAAACGTTGACACTCATGTGAGATGTGTTTGCAATAATTCCACTCTCTCTTTTGGAATAAGCCCTTTACAAATGCATTTGCAATAATCATGAAGGGAACTTAATGGTATTCTGAAAATCTAATTGTGCTTCAAAAATCTAATTGTGCACTCTTCCTAAGAGTATTCTTCTTTTTAAATATAAAAACGTTTGGAGTGTACAGTTAGATGTTTAGAGTGCCAATAAATTCTCATCGTGAATGACATTTATAATCTTCCTAGTTATATAACTTTTTGGATTGACAAATCCTGAGAGTGGTTATTGATAATAGCGATAGCAAGCGTGGAGTCACTCTCCACAATAACCCGATTAATCTGCAGCCTCCTCGCCGACCGAAGCCCTTCCAAGACCGCCTCAAATTCCACTTGAAAAGCTGACCCAATACGCTATTTCCTCCAAGCTCCCGCTACTATAAACTGCCCCATCCCTTCCCTCAACATCACATCCACTCCTCCTGAACACAACTTCAGCTGTGTGGCCCCATCAATAGTGATTTTAACCTACCCATCAGTGGGGGTCATCCATTTGAGCTGAGGAATCGGTCTGGAGACCCTCGGCAAAACATGGGTTGCTAAAAATGCCTAATATCAGCACACTACACTCTACACAAAACTCCATGGGTTGTCCATGTTGCCCATCCCAGACTAGGGAGTTACGAGCTTGCCACAAACCCCAGAGAAACAAGCAAACCAAATCAAACTTAGTTTTTTTAGTCTTAACTACTGATAAAAGCCACTCCCACATTAACACACCCGATTCCGGTAATATACCAGCCCCCAACGGAGACCTCACCCACACTCTCGAAACACATGCCCATCAATTTCAGGATGCCCCGAACATACCCCACACTCTAAATCAAGATTCACCACCTTCCTAGCAAGATTAACTTTAGTTGGAATAATGTCATGACTAATTTTCCACATAAATTTTTTTACCTTAGGGGGAATCTTAGCCCTCCACATGGACTTCCAGAGGGGTGAAAAAGCATTGCTCCCTTCCGACATAGATGCACCCGCCAAGGGAGATTGCACCACCTCCCTAGCCACCAGATAGCCACTACTAATAGTATATGCACCACGAGAGTTATAATTGTTGGGGCTTAAAAAGACTTCTCTACTTTGGAGACGTTTATCTCACAAAGAAGAATGTAATGCAGCAGAATTGATAGGCAAGAGAAAGAAAGAACACTCAAAGTTTTTACACAAAATTTTTTATTCACTCACAAACTAGTACAAGAGGAAACACTCAAACACTCTTAGAAGCTTTGTTGATTCTTCTCACTTCTCACTACTTGCTCTCTTGGTTGTTGCAAATGGTGTGGATGCATTCTCCTTTTATAGGCATGGATGGAACCTTGGAGAAGCATGGAAGCATCATGCTAAAGATATCTAGATAATTCCACTACCTTCATAAGCTAGAATTATCTACATTAATCTTGTATGTTGGTGGAATCCTCACCATTCTTCTAAACTCTTCCACCAACTTGAACTTTGCTAGAATTCTCTAGCATGTGCATGGATCTTTCTTTGTGCATGGGCTGGATCCATTATCTTTGGGCCAAGACAAGATTACAATTCAACATCCCCTCTTAATCTTGTCTTGTGATGCCAATTATGTTCCTCAATTTGACAAAGTCTTCTTGCCTGAGTGGTTTGGTGAATATGTCAGCGACTTGGTCTTGTGACTTCACGTATTCCACTTGCACATCCATTCTTGCAATGCACTCTCTTATGTAGTGATAACGGGTATCTATGTGTTTGCTCTTGTCATGGAATACTAGATTCTTTGCTAAAGTTATTGCAGACTTGTTGTTGACATAGATCTTTGTTGGCTCTTCTTGTGGCATGCTTAATTCTTTTAGCACGTTTCTCAGCCAGATTGCATGACTGACACATAAGGTAGCAGCTACGTATTTAGCTTCGCAGGTAGAGAGAGTGACAATCGGTTGCTTCTTCGATATCCATGTGAATGCAGTGTCTCCCATGAAGAACACAAATCCAGTAGTGCTTTTTCTATCGTCGGAATCTCCTGCCCAATCATTGTCGCTATATCCAACAAGTTTGTAGTTATTAGAGCTTGAATAGAACAAGCCAAAGTTAACAGTACCTTTAAGGTATCGAAGAATTCTTTTGGCGGTCTTCAAGTGTGTAGTTGTGGGATTCTCCATGTAGCGACTGACTAATCCGACGGCATAGAGAATATCTGGTCTTGTGCAAGTCAAGTAGCGCAAGCTTCCAACTAAACTCTTGAAAAATGTTGGATCTACACTTTCTCCTTTGTCATGCTTGGTTAGTTTAACTTCGCACTCCACTGGTGTGCTTATGGGCTTGTAGTCATCCATTTTGAACTTTTTCAGTATCTCATTTGTGTAGCTTTCTTGGGAGATGAAAATGCCTTCTTCGTTCTGATTAACTTCAATGCCTAGGTAGTATGCCATCAGCCCGATGTCGGTCATCTCGAATTCTTTGGTCATCACTTTCTTGAACTCTTCATACATGCTTGGATTACTTCCGGTGAAGATTAGATCATCCACATATAAGCACACAATCAAAATATCTTCATCCTTGACTTTGATGTAGAGAGCATGTTCATGAAGGCACTTAATGAAGTTGTTTTCTTAGAAGTACTTGTCGATACGACTATTCCATGCTCGTGGCGCTTGTTTTAACCCATAGAGGGCTTTCTTTAGCTTTAGAACTTTGTCTTCATGCCCTTTGATTTCATAGCCTGACGGTTGTTGAATGTAGACTTCTTCTTCAAGGACTCCATTTAGGAAAGCAGACTTCACATCCATTTGTTGTATCTTCCATTTGTTTTGAGCTGCCAAAGAAATTAGTAATCGTATAGTTTCCAACCGAGCAACAGGTGCAAATACCTTATCATAGTCGATTCCGGCTCTTTGACTATAGCCCTTCGCCACTAATCTCGCGTTGTATCTTTCGACCTCTCCATTGGCATTCTTTTTTGTCTTATACACCCACTTGACTCCAATGGCTTTGTGTTCTTTCGGAAGAATAGCAAGTTCCCATGTATCGTTCTTCTGGATTGCTTTAATTTCTTGATCCATTGCTTTCCTCCACTTAGTATCTTGCACTGCTTCTTGGAAGTCAACTGGTT